ACACATCAAGTTCAAAACTGAGTTCTTGCTTTCCATCAACTGCCCCCTGGAAGCTTTTCCCCAACAGTGTTTCTAATTCAGTAAATAGAAACACATCCACCTCGTTGCTCAAACCAGAAATGTGGGATTTATTCTTAATACCCATTTCCCTTCACCACCCCCTCCTGCTCATTCCAATATGGCTTTCAATCTTGTTGACTCCACCTTCAAATATGTCTCGAATCTCTCCATACCTCACCACTTGCCCTGCCACCTCCCTAGTCCAAGTTACTTTCATCTCTCACCAGGACTCCTACTTCTAACTCTTTCTAATTCATCTCCCATACAATAGCTGGGGTTCTTTTCTTAAAATATAAACCAGATCATGTCATCACCCTGCCTAAAAACCTTAACTGACCTCTCTATACACTTAGAATAAACTCTAAGTTCCTGCAACTTGCTCCCAATCTCTTTCCATGTATATCTCAACATTTGGGGATCCACTCAGCATTTGTGGCAGAGACAGGAAGCATAGATTCAGGGATTCTCTTAGCAAGTTGAAATTAGCCCAGGGCTTCCTATCATTCAGACCTTTGGTAGAAAGTTATCCTATTTCCTTATTTTAGTAACTATAGAAATCTACCTTGTTGATCCTAGAAAATGGCCCTGATAAATTGGGACACCATCTACACCTTTTGCTAAGACTCAAGTTAGCTCAAAACAAATTTTTTTTTTTCCATTTGGGTACAGCAGAGGAAGGGTGTGGAAGGTCTAAGGTAGAAAGAGGAAAAAGAGGAAGAGGTATCAAAAAGGAGGATCTAATACTGGATTTCAGTTCCCACTACTGGGAAATGGTTCATTTCCAATTCTGCATTTCAAGAACAAAAAGACTTTCTGATTATCTTTTTCATTTTCTTTGGATCAGTATGAATCCTTAGCACTAATTTATGTCCTCCTATAGTTAAAGGGTTAAGATATTTTGGGAAGTGAAATAACCATATTTAAGGATGGTTACAAAGTCAGGACAGGGCATTTCAAATACATTGTTCCCCAGATAGAATCTGAGTCACAGAATCTGTAATCTGTTCTGGAACAACCTGATGGCTTTACTTAACTGTGATAGTTTGCTCATTAGTTTATCCATTCATTCAACATTCAGCAGCCACTTTGAACTGTGCATTATAAGTTTCTAAGTGTTTTCCCCTCCATTGCACTTGATTCTTATGAGAATCCTGTGATAGAGTCCCTTAACAGAAATTATTATTTTGGAGAACAAGAAACTGAGAACCACAGAAGTTAGTCAGTTGTGGAACTTAAACTGGAACCCAGATCATCAGATTTTACATCAAATTCTCTTTCAGTTCTACCTACTTTAATCAACATTTTCTAAGTGAGTACCATGTGTTGGATAGAAGTCAAAGAAAACAAAAAATCAAATATTCTTGTCCTTGAGGAGCTTCTAGTCTATCAAAGAAAAGCAGAGATCAAGGTAGGGATGTAGATTGGAGGTAAGTACAGGGGTCCTTCCTTGGAGAATGCTGAGAGTCTGGTGTAGAAAATTATGGTAGGAGATGAGACTGGAAAGAAGTTTGAGGGCCTAAAGTACTTGATTTATTGATTCACCATCATCAAGTCTTCTCAATATACCTTCCCAAATGATGGCCTTTATTAATGTCATTATTAATCTTTTTCTGTCCCATTTTCTTTTCAGCATTTTGCTGGCATTTTAGTGCCAGTGCCTCCAAAGGGTAGCGTTGTTCATAGCAACTTGATGTTTAGACATTAAAAGCTGCCAGACAATTGTAGATTGCTGAAATCTTATCTGGAAGTTTTATGCATGTGCCATTATATATAACTCATCCTTGCCTGGTCATAAAAAGGAAATGGTCACAACTCCTGGTACATAAGTTCAACCCTGAGGCAGGTTGGGCCTTGGTGACTAGTGTGCTGTGGAAACTGCTCTGAATGCAGGGCTGGCACCTGGAGATATCATCTGTCAGTGTGTTACCCCAAAGTCTGGAATACCAAGAGGGTTGGGATGAACTTGAGCTTGGTTGGATAGGCATCAGGAGCTATTAAGTGTCTAGTTCATGTTAGGGATTGTGTTGTGTTCTGGAGTCTATGCTGTGGGCTGTGGAAAAATATGAGGCTGGGTGATCTGCCTGCTCCTGGTAGAACTTGCTAGAAGATATAAAAATCAGGGTCCAGACAAAGCTCTGGCCTGCAGGTTGAGCCAAACTAGTGATGGTGGTGGTGGGGAGAGCTGAGGCTCTAACTGTGCTCCAGGCTCTTGTGGATCTTCCTGCATCATGTATTGGGTGTTACTGGATGGTACATCAAGATGGCTGTGTTATATATAACCTGTTCTAATTAATACTGAATGAAAAACTCCGAGGTTGAGCCTGCTCAGGGAGGAAATAAGTGCCTCACACTGATAATGGAGTGGGATGTAGGACACTGCATGTGAGAAGAAGCTGTAGTATTTTATTGGGCTCAGAATCAGGATATTTGGGGCCCACTCCTGGCTCAGTACTCACCCCAAACAAGTTGCAGCACCTTTCTGGGCCCTTTGTTTCCTCAGTACACTGTGTGCCCCCAGGAGTCAGGATCCCCTACTATATTTGTTTGTTTCCCCAACATCTAGCACAGTGTTCATCCCACACAAAAACTGCCAATGAACCATGTGTTGAATGATGAATGAGTGAGTGAATAGAGAAAGCTGAGCATGAAGAATTAGTCAGTGGCTTAAGGGAAGAAGGGCTTATCCGAACCATGGTCCTTACCCTCACCCCCTAGATTTTGATGTCTACTCTCATGCCCTTTGTTGAGGAATAGTGATTCAAATAATGTATAATCCCCCAAAGTTCCTAACAGTCTTATGAGTCTCTGAAGAAATAAACATTAATATAGTTTATTTTTACATTGTTTTCCTTAGCATTCATTAGTCAAATGTGTTATAAGAATAGAAAACAAATCTCCTGGAGCCCCAGAAGGAGCCAATGAAGGTCTATCTATCAGGAGAGCTATTAGGTGGGTTCACAGAGACAGTGAAGTAACCAGGAAACCCTTTGACATTTGCAAATGCTGTGAAATACCAACAAACAAGATAAGCATACTAAAACCAACGGGGAGGTGGAAACAGATCAAAGATTTACAAGATTTGTTTAATCTCATTATGGTCAATATGCTCAAAAAGGGTGATGTTTTGTTGGAGTGGAGACAAGTGTCTCCCAGAGTGAAAGGTCTTCTCCAAGAGTGAGTGGGCAGTTCTCATTTTTGCTCTATGCCCTAAAGATGTGGGAAGCTTTGACTTTAGGTCAAACATCCAAAACTCTAAATTAAAGAACTAATTGTTTGCATGTAAAAGCTTTCACCGAGGGCTCTTCCATCTATTGAGGGTGAGCTTGTGAGATATACTAGTATATCAAATTAATATATAAATTTTATACAATTTGGAATATAAAGAAAAAATAAAGGAGAAAAATATTCATCCATAATCCTACAACCCTAAAATCGCCATTGTAAATATTTTTTGTTAATTGTGTACTCTTGTGTATGTATATCCAGTCTAATTTCTATGAAGAGTATTGTTAAACAGTTATGAATACACTACTTACATATATGTCCATTATATATATATATATATATATCCTACTTCTTTTCACTTCACCTGTTACCATAAGTATTTTCCAATTACAATTTTTAAAAATTAGTTGTATTATAATTTATTTAACTATTTTCCACCCAAATCCTTTCCCCCAAATGAATCATGATGGGACATATAGGTTGTTGAAAATTTTTGTTGTTAGATAGAATGCTTGAATGCATATATATTCATTCAAAGATACTTTTCCCTGTATGTTGAACTGTGCCTTGAAGATAGATTCCTAGAAGTAAAATTACTGGGTCAATGGGCATTACTATATTTATGACTCTTGAGATACATGACCAAATAGATTACTGAGTCATGCTAACTGAAATGGTGTATGAGAGGATTCAGTCTCACTGCATTTCACCAAGAATTATTTACATGTCAGCCTCCATAGTAAATATAAGGGTTGATTCAAAGACTTTTAACCACTTGGTAGAGAAGCTGACAGAAGTGGGAAAAGAAGGGAATGGGAAAGAAGGAAAAGATACTGGAAACTCAAGTGCAGCATTCGAACTAGACACCATTGATAACTGACAATTGGTTAGAAATTAATGAAGCACTTCTAAAATAATGTAGTGTATCAAGGTAATAGCAGTCCTCAGTTTACCGAAGTGAAGACTGAAGCAAAATAAATAACTCAGGATGGACTGGTTGATGGGAATTAACTCTACCACTCATTTGCTGGGTGATCTTTGCAAACCATTATCCTATCTTGACCTTCCCAGTTTAAATTATGGGATGTTATCTAGAAAATGAATAAAAATTTCTAGAGTTTTAGGGTCCATTCAGCAGTTCTTTAGATACCCCAGGGTTACAACTCTGCTATTCAACTCTGAGGAGATCCAAAGTTCTATTGGAGTTGTACAATGAAAGAGCAGATAATCCAAGAAGCTCTTGAGGCTCCCCCAACCTCAGTGATGAATCCCCAAGTTCTATTGTCCTATATGGACTGATGGAAAGATTTTTCTAGGCCTTGTTTCCATGGAAGGTTTCCACAAAGAAACCTGGAATAAGTGGATTTATAAGGTGGCTCAAGTCATCTACCATCATGACAACATTTGGCCTTTGGTGCTTCCCTAGTGTTCTCCTCTTAGTTCTTTATACAGAAATTAGTTAAATCGCTTTCAATTTAGTAAACTAAAAGAATAAATGCAGGCTTCCTTATTTCCCTGATTCTATTTTGGGGGCATGGTTGGGTGGGAAGCAAGCCCTCTCAGATGTTGAGAGAGGCCTGGCTCACTTTTTGGAGATTTCTGGTATTGAAAAGGAAAATAAAGATATGCCCCTATTCCCCACTCCCCTCTCCAACTATATATATAAATTGAGAAGATAGTACAGAGAACAACCATGTGCCCAGTTTTCCCTATTATTAACATTTTACAATACGATGGAACATTTGTATCAATTAACAAAACAATATTGACACCATATTAACTTAAGTCCGTCATTTATTCAGGTTTGCTTAGGTTTACCTTATGTCTTTTTCTATTCCATGCTCCCATCTGGATTACTATATTACTTTAAGTTGTCATATCTCCTCAGGCTATTCTTGGCTACTTCAGACTTTCCTTTCTTTTTTATGACCTTGACGCTTTTGAGGAGTCATGTAGGTAGAGAACCGTTTTCATCACCTCATATCAAAGGTAGATACAATCACCATGGTTTATCACTATTGATGTTGACCTTGATGACCTGTTTGATGTACTCTGTTTGGCAGGTTTGTCTACACAAAATTCCTCTCACCCTCATCCTCCCTCCCATACTGTCCTCTTTGGAAGAAAGGCACCATGCACAGCTCACACTTAAAAGTAGGGAGTTATACTTCCTCTCCTTGAGGGCAGTGTATCTTCATAAATTATTTGGAATTCTTCTGCAAGGGAGATTTATATCTTTTCTACCATTTATTCATATATTCAATAATTTATTTATATCTGTGTGGATTCATGGATATTCATTTTATACTTTGGGTTGTAATTCAATATTACTCTATTTTTTTGCTCAAAATTTTCCAGATTTGGCCATTGGAGCTCTTCAGGTGGCTTTAGGATCTCTTTGAAATATCCCTCATTGATACAGTTTTTGTTTTTAACAATTCCTTACTCTATGGTGCTACAAGATGTTCCATCCTAATTTTGTGTATTTCCTGCTCCAGTCCTAGAACTAGAATTAGCCATTTGTTCAAAAGCCTTGCCTCCCAATACTGGAGAATGTATCAGGTCACGATCTGCTTGGTGTGCTCACTGCTACTGCAGCATCATTGTTTTCAGGCCAAATGATATTTTAAATGTAAAATTATTATCTTCAACTATGATACAATTGCACCATTCATAAAACAACTATAGATTTACTAACTATATTAAATCACAGTACCTTAGGAGCCTGTGGGGGATCATATACTGAGTCCTACGCTGGGACCCAACACAAAACACGTGTAAAATGATCTTCTTTCCATCTGTCTATGTATGGAAAGACTGATGGAGAAACTCTGGGGAGATCATGTCAAAAGTCCAAATGTGAGGCCTTCTGTGAATGTAAGGCCACAGAAAATGGCTATTTTTCAGGGCTACCCACTCCAAATCCTCTTTCCATGATAAGCCATGGAAAAGCCATAGCCCAGATTTAAACCAGAGCATCCAAATTCTGGATCCAGCTCTGTCAGTGATTCAGTGTGTGTGGCAAAAACATTCTGCCTGGGCCTCAATTTCCAATTATACAAAATCAGTAGTGTTGGATTGGATAATTGCTAAGGACCCTCCCAGTTCTAGTATATTATGTAACTGGCTCACCTCTCCTTGTCCATGGGGTACCAATAATATTCCAGAAGGTCTAAGCCAGTGGAGAGATGGTGGTAGTACGGCGGTCACTGCTGTTAAAGACCTTAATTTATCTAGACAATCAGATTTGAAAAATTTTAGACTTTTCTTTTTCAAGAATGAAGATTTAAAAATTATAGGAAATATTTTTTTTAATATAGGAAATATTAATTTGATGGAAAATATCTCTTTCATTAACTTCAAGTTTCTTCTGGTAGACCAAGGCTTTTTTTTTTTTTTTTTTTTTTTTTTTTTTTTGAGGCAAACTCCTCATCTGTAATTTCCTCTGACTTCAAATAATTACTTTCAATGCAGTGATGGCTGGGTTACCTCTAAGTTTCTTACTAGGAATCTCTCTCTCTAGGTTTTTCTTTCTTTTTCTCTCTCTCTCCCCCCTTCTCTCTTCTCTTCTCTTCTCTTCTCTTCTCTTCTCTCTCTCTCTCTCTCTCTCTCTCTCTCTCTCTCCACATTATGACATATTTTTCACACCCACATGGGGCTCTGTGGCTTAAAGACTGCCCAGTTTACAAGTGTCATCTCCTTTCTATCATTAACTAGGACAGTTTCCAAAAACAAACAAAACTACAGAAGAATTCTAGGGCAGAAAAGACACTTGGGAATTGTCACATTTGATTCTGAATGCTGGAGATCAAAAGTACAAGGTCTTAGAAACTGCCTCTTCCAATTCCTAACATTTAAAATCTTCAGTTGGCTTTTGGACCCAACTCAGCATAATCCCAGACTTTGGTCTACAATTGGTTAAAAATTGATAGAGGTGAGAATTCTGGGATTGCCTTCTTTACTTAGAAGTTTAAATTTTAACCCTTTCCCCCATCCCAGGTACACAAAGCTCCTTTCCATCTCTCCCTCCCCACCTTAAAGTTATGTAAATATGCATTTAGATACATGGGTATAGAATTTTGAACAAATAGACATCATGCATATCATCTGGGTTATTCCTTCACATAGTCAAGGAAACTGAGTCTTGACAAGTGGTTTTGCTCTAGGTCCCATAAGGACTTCCAGGCAGAACTGTAATTAGAAACAAAGGCTTTTTTGGCAACCTATCCAGTGTCTCTCCCCCCCGCCCCCCGCCCCAACCTCACACTATGCCCCTGTGGAGTTACACGTTTGTGTGTATGTGTTTCTATAGGTACATATGCTACATAGACACCGACATGTAGGAAACATGCACCAAACATCTGTAGTCTGACCACAGGGAACAGTTTAATGACTCGAATTTCAAGCAGCAGAAAGGTTCCTGCGGGTGGAGGCTGAAATAAACAAGAAAAGCCACTGTGGAGATGTGAATGGAAAAGTACCAAGCACTCCCTCCCTCTGCACATTCTTCCGCTCTCCAGCTCTCCCTGCCATCAAGCCGGCTTCAGATAGGCTTCTGCATGGTCAGGTGTACAGAGGGCGGTGTGGAGAAGAAAGAAAAAAAAAATTCAGGCACAACATGCAAATCAAGTTTTTCCACTTCTAGCCTTAAGTAGTAAAGACAGCTAAGTACAGCAGCGGGCAGAAGGGTGGGCCCTCCACCCTGAGTTTACAAACACTCAAGTGCTTTCCTCCTCTCATCCCTCTCAGAGTCCAGCTGCTGCTTTCCTTCATGCGAAGGTTTCATAGGAAGTGAAAACCCTGCTATTCAAAAACAGTGATCGAATGCAATAAACAAATGATTACATGTCCCCCTCCCCCCAATTACTTCTCTATTTTAAGCTCCCGATATTTATTTCCATTTCATATAAGTGGGGAAAGTGGAAAAATCAGTGTTTGGGGGAAAAATTCTGAGCTAGGCTGAAAAGAAAAAACAAGTCTTAGAATAATACAGGCTGAAAGCAGGAAGCATATGGATCAAAATGAAACATCGACACTTTTTCAGAAAGTAGTGGCTAGAAATCATCTTTTTTTTAATGTCTCAAAACTTTCTGCTCCATATCTCTGAAAAATACCAAGAAAACTCCTTTTTTTCTCCAATGATAATAAACTGAGCTTGCTTGCAATAGCTCTAAATGAAGGAATTGAAATAAATGAATAGGTAAATTTTTTCATGTCAGGTAGATAACATCTCCCATATCCATCAAAAATAGTGTCACAGCAGCACAGGTGACAAGCATAACCAAATTCAAACGACCATCAAAAGTCAACACTTATCATGACTTGGAGTTTGTTCTGAGAACCAGTTTATAATTTACACAGAGCCCGAAGCAGCCTTGCTTCCCTCAATTCTGCCAGAAAACAAGGTAACCTCCTCCAAACCCAGGTAGTCATATCACCCTGATTTTCTAAAATGACACAGAACCATCAATCCACAAAGACCCCCTTTCAGCTGTGTTCCTGGGGTCACGCATGTCTACAGTTGAGGGCCAGCTTCTCCTGGTAGAAGGAAACCTGGGGGAGTTGTGTTATTGATGGGCAAGGTTCCTTTCAGCTTGAAAGTCTGTAATTCTGTAATGTGATAGTTTATAGATCTGCCCAGGTAGCAGAAGTTCCTGACAGGGGAAAACAATTTCCTATTTGGAGCCCCCTTAGAATGAGACCAGACAGTGTTTATTCCAACAGTAGGTTCCTTTTCAGCTATGACTGAATTGTGAGGAAGATTTCGTGAGTGGAACTGGATGCAAAATGTGTTCCTTTCCTTAAATAGTTGTAACATTAGGACCAGGATATTTTATTTTATAACAAAGCTTATATTTACCCAGCAGTTGCAATTAGGAACCTATTACTATGCCCAGTCCACCGAGCAAAGGCTGGGCTGGTCCCCTATTCTGAGTATTAATAGCCAGTAGAGTCATTAAATCATAGGACTGGTTGATACACAGCCCCTCCATATCTCCAAGAATCACACATAAGACTCCAGACACGGAATTTCTCTTTAGAGTTTCTTCAGGATGATTTAAAAGAATTTGAATATATTCAAGTCAATCTTATCTTTAATCCTATAATGGTAGCACTGCTGTAGTGAGGGAGACTTACATAGCGATGCGAACTGGTTACTAATGGAGAGTGATTAAAATGAGAGAAGGAAGAATATGCTGGAAGAGATTCAATTGGTATAAAATTTGATAAAGTTTATTCCTAGGAATTGAAACGAGATTGAGAGGTGGGTGCACAATTTTCCTTGCCACTCATTCAATAGAGAGGAAGGGGCCTACCTAAAAGTAAATCTCTACCTTTGGAATATTTTCAATATTTTTTTTTCTTGTAATGGTCTGTGTTAATGAATTTCTTTCAATGTAAACAGTTTGATTTGGCAAAAAAAATTGAAGAAGAAAAAGAAAGAAAAAAGAAAAGAAAAGAAAAGAAAAGAAAAGAGAAAAGAAAAGGAAAGGTAGGGCTCTGGAACTTGGTCCCAGAAATAATATGCTGAGAAGGTTTGAGGTCCCTGGTGATGGGGTTAATCATCTCAAAATCAAGCCTGGTGGGTTCTCCCTCCTAGCGCTCCCTGCAGAGAATTAAAGAGGACTGAGGTACAAGAAGGGTGAATTCCTTCCCAGCCCCCACTCGGGTTAATTCTATTGCCAGAGGGAGCAGATTTCCCTTTGCTCTTCAGCGCCCCCATGGGGCTAAAATTGAAGTAGCAAAGAGAATGCAGAAGGGACAAGCTGAGTGTGTTAAGGTGGGGTTGGGGGAGGGACCAATGAGGCTAGAGGGCAACTTTTACAAGAAAAATATCCAAAAATCATAAAACCTCATTGTACCACCAATAATAGGGCAGATTCATACAATTCACATTCCAAACCATATAAATACTCCCAAGAGACCCTAAAGTTCTTATTGCTCATAAAAGAAAAAAAATATCACACATATAAATACACAAAGAAACTCACTTCAGTAAAGTCGAGTTGTCATTTTGAATCCAGTGGGATTCATTTAAAACTCTTTGAATATGAGGGGAAATGAGATGATTAAAAAAAAAAAACCCATAAGCCTCTGGCAGAATGAATCTGTGACTTGACAATATCATGTGTCTTTAAGGGTAAAATGTTCATTTCAACAACAGTGACAGGATTAGACCTATGTATATTTTTCAAAAAAATTGTGACATGACATGCTTTTCTGAGAGGCTGTAAATAAGTATTAAACTATTCAGATTTCTCAGGGACGGACCTACGTATTTCCTAAGCTCCAGGCCGTGTAGAAAATAATCACCTCCTTTGGACCTCTCCTGGTTCTAAAACCCCCAACGCAGCCTTTTAAAAAGGGGGCTGCATCAACCACAGCATTGTCAGCAATAGATATGAACTTCTTATAGACTTCTTTTGGGAAAGAGATCCCAAATATCCCAGGAAACAGCCAGCAATCTTTCATAGCTCTGCTCACGTCTCCATTATAAACCCAAATTTGAGGGATGGAGAGGTACATTATTTTGGATGATATCGTTATTGGAAATTAACATGTGCAGAAATTTTGTGAAACCTTTAAGAACTCATCTGTAATTTAATGAGTCGCCGGAAGGACTCTCATAGCCAAAGCTTAGAACAGCCTGACCTTTGAAATCTGCTTCTGGTCCAAACATTTTGGGTTAATACTTGAGGAATCTGAAATATTATTTTCCCCTCACACCCTTTTTTTTTTAAGAGAGAGACATTAAAGAAACAAGAGTCTCCCTCATTCAGGGATGAGTAGGAGGGGAAAAAACCCCAACCAACATTTAAATAGGGAAACTGGCAGTTCTGAATAAACAAACCAAGGCCCACAGTGAAATGATTCTGCACTGCATTTGCCTTTAAAAAAAGAAAGGAAGGAAGAAAGAAAGATTTCCCCTTTCTCCTCCTCCTCCCAACTCAGCTTGAAAGCTGAGAACTGTGCTGCGTGCAGCGCATTATGGTTGTAGCACAGTCTGTTCTAAATACACGCAGTATCTGTGATTCTGGCATGGCAGGCCTTTAGAATTCCCTCCGGCTGATGTCTTAGAACAGAGACAGAAGAGATTTTTGACAACGACCTTGAAAGGAGACAGGAGTGGGGTTGGGGGTGGGGAGGAATCAAGACTTTAGGAAAAAGCAAAACACAAACAGGTATTTTTGGCTCACAGAATTTTGTAGAACACATGCGTACACATACCTAAATACACACACGTTTCTGCAGCAAGAAATTTCCTAAGTCTACAATAACAGAAAGAGTAAACCCACCACTTGCTGTCCTGGAAAGAAACAAACCCAAACAAAACAAATCCTCTGAACAGCCACTTAAGTGCAGGAGAGCCTCCTCTCAGTAAAAGTCCAAGGGGAAAAACAAAATTGCTGCACCGCCCCCCCGCCCCCCAAAAAAGCGGGGGTTGGGTAGCTTACATACGACCAAAAATTTCAGCTTCTTTCAGTAATAGCATCAGTATTAAAATAGCACATCTTCTTTAAAAAGCTTGAGAGATTAGGGAAACACACACACACACACACACACACACACACACACACACACGACACCCAAATCCAACCTTTGCGGGATCCTACGATTTACGTAACACCACAAACTTGCAAAAGGCAAACATCAGAAGCAAAAATCCGAAAACCATCAAAATACAACCACCAAAAATCCCAACCCATCACATTGACAAGGAAAACAAAAACTGTCCCAAATAAAAATAAAGCAAATGAACCCACCGAAAACTGCTTGGCAAATATTTTTCTCGTGGTGCCTACTATTCTAGCTGCAAAGAGCTGTGGTGTTTGTTTTTTCTCTGACTCGCTTCTAAACCTAGTATATATAACAGACTTTTCCCAACGGTTCGAATCTCTCGCTCCCTTTCGTGTAATTTAGCTCCAGGAGCTGAGTTTATGGGTAAGAGAGGAGGAATGAGCCCCAGACCCCAGGAAAGCAAAGCGCACTCCCCCTCTTATGTCACCGAATAGCAAATTAGTTCTCAGAATTCCAGAGGCCGAGCTTTGCTACAGCGAAGACGTCGACGTCACAGAGGGGCCGCCCACGTGACGCTGGCGGAGCAGGCTGTACCATCATCCTGAGTCCGGGGAGGGAGGTCCACTGTCCGCCCCCTCTAGCCTCGAACCAGAACCTCCAAATCCGAGACGCCCAGCCCAGTAGGACCTCTAAATATGCCGATCGGTGGAAAAATATTATGCTTTGAATGCTTTGTACCGGCGAGGGGAGGCAAAAGTCCCGCGGAGCTGACATAGAGTCCTCCCCTGCCATGTAGCAGTGGTAAAGTCCGAAGCTCAAATTCCGAGAATTGAGCTCTGTTGATTCTTAGAACTGGGGTTCTTAGAAGTGGTGATGCAAGAAGTTTCTAGGAAAGGCCGGACACCAGGTGATTATTGCTGTTGCTGCCGCCGCTGCTGCTGCTGCCGCCGCCGCCGCCGCTGTTGCCGCTGGTGCCGCTGCCGCCGCCGCTGCTCATGATCATTATTTTACCTTTTAATTCTTTTTTTTCCGCTCTTGCCAAATGCTTTGGCTCCAAGTTTCCTATGTGTATCTATTGATATAAATGTATATATTTATTTATTCTAGCTGTCAGGTGTTAAAATAAATGCCGAAGATTAGTCCCATGTCTCTCCCACTCTAGGATATAGATTTTTATGTATTTGTTATTTGATTCTTGTTGTCTGAGTGAATCGGCCGGTTTGGGGAGGCTTTTGCCACCCTCCCTTGTGTTGTTTTGGTTTTTTAAAAGGAGGTGGAGGAGAGGAAGGAGGATAGTTAGGGGGCGGCCTGAGCAGAGAGGACGAGACAGTGTTTGGGGGGTGTTTGGGGCAAGTCTGGGGCTGTCTGGCCCTAGACCGCGGAGAGGACGCGCGCTCGCGCTCTCGCCCTCGCTCTCGCTCTTTCTGCTGCCTGCTTGCGTACGGCTTGTGATCTCGCTGGATTCGTGCGGCTGTGTTTTTCCCCTCTTTTCTAGCTTGCAAACTGCCTTCCTTGCTAACCTCGCTCCTGCCTCGGCTTCCCTCCCTCCCTCCACCTTGCCCTGGCCTCTTCTGCCATCCCCTTCCCGTCCTTCTTAGTAACTCCGGGAGGCGAGGAGGGAGACCGCCCGCTCGCTCGTCCCGCTGGCTCTCTTCCACCGGCCTCGGTCCTCTAGATTCACTGCCTCCGAGCCGAGATTTTGAAGGGAAAAATGCAATCGAACTCCTCGGTGGCTTTTTTTTTTTTAATCCCCTTAAAATCCGGATGAAGTATAGTTTCTACTTTTTCCGTTCAGAGCCGTGATCTTCCTAACGAGATGCGAGTGTTTTGGTGTCCCCTTTCCCTGTGTTTTGGGGGAGGTTTAGCTTGCCTGGGGGCGGGGATGTTGAATACTTTTGGAAATTATTCTTTCTTGGTTGCAGACAAGGGAGTCGGGAACACCACGCGCTCCTTCTCCCATCCTAAGGAGAGAAGCTGATGGCGGGACGGGGATTTGGGGGTGGGAGGTGGTCAAGGGGTACGCGTTTGCACCTGCGGTGCTGTTCAGTGTGTGGGGACTCCGGGAACCTTCACCAGACAGCCTAGCAGAGAAGGAAGGTGGCGGGATTTCTTGGCGGTCGCGGTGTTTGTATTTTGGGTACTGCGTGACTTGGTGTTAGCTCCCAATGGCTGTTCCCCCTGGTTCCTAAATTTTATTTTATTTTTCCTATGGTGCAGTCTTTGTAAAATGACAACGGCGGGCCGGAAAGTGGCCAACATTAGGCTTTACATTACCGAGGTCCTTGCACTGGGCAGGGGAAAACAAAACAGCCCCAGCCCGCGTTCCAACGTGCAAGACCCGGGAGGAGAGAACACTTTGTGGACCTGGCCGGGCGACCCGGCGCGGGAGGAGGGGGCGCGGGCGCGAAAGGGAGATCTTTGTGAGTGATTTTGCAAAATCGGAATGTGCGGTTGGTTGGATTTGCAACCTGTGGCTCTTCTCGAGGGAGTAGGAATGGGAGAAGGC